CCTTCTCTTCACTAGGCTTTATTGCATTAAGGCTTACCTTTTTCATCTATAATCTTAATTAAATAAGTTGATGCTGTTGTGTGAAATCCTGTTTGATTATTTGACTGAGGATTTTCTGGAGTATTTGTATGTGTAAAGAGATGCGTATAAACCAAATGTGTCCAAATATTTCATTGTTGATCAGGAGAGTGACTTGGTCCATATCCTCAGTGCAATGATAATTCTTTGAAGAGTTTCCAAGCCAGGGAGTGACTTGATTTAAAAAAAGAAAAAAAAAGACAACTCTGGAGAGTGGCAAAGGTTGAATCAGGGAGACCAGTTAAATGGCTACTGTGAAATATGATAAGAATTTATATCAGGGTGATAGTAGAAGAAATAATTATCATAAAATTTTAGTTAGCATTTATATTATATAAATGTGCCAAGCACTCTCTTTTATATTATACTAACTCATTTAATCCTAATTCTCAACAGTCCTATGAGGTAGGATGTGCCTTTTTTGTATTATCATCCCCTCTTTCTAAGTGATGAAATTGAGCCTCAGGGATGTTAAGAAACTTGTCTACAACTAATGGACATTGGGATTTAGTGATATATTGGATGTGGGGAGTGAGACAGAGCAGATAAAGAATAAAGATAACCTTCTTGGTTTTGGCCTGAGCAATTGGGTGAATTAAATAATGCCATGAAACAAAACGCTGGTGCTATTAAATAAGATGGAGAAGAGCAGGGTTAGGGACAGATGGAAGTGAAGGGAAATTGGAATTTTGTTTTGGCCATGTTGATATTGTGGTAGCTATTAGATATCTGGGTGGAACTGTCAAGACTAGAGCTCAGAGATGTTTTAGATGGAAACAGAAATTTGGATTTTTGTCAGCATGTAGATGGCATATGCTGCTATGAGACGAGATGGAATCAATAGAACATAGAGAAGAGAGAATAGAAACAGAATTTGTAGAATTCAATTGTAAAAAATCACAGATATTTGAAAGGGAAAGAGTATGTGTTTTGGCATTAGAAATACTAGACGAGTTTCTTTAGAATTTACTGATTATTTATTTTGTTATATCCAGTCTTCTGATAAGCCCATTAAAGGACATCTTTATCTATGATACCATGTTTTTCATTTCTGTTTTCGCTGTTTATTTTGTTTTATTTGTTTGTTTGTTTTTGTAGTTTCCATCTCTGTCCAAATTCTTCATCTGTAAATAAATGTATTTTGTCTACCTTTTCCACTAAGTACTTAAAATCTTAATCATAGCTATTTTTACATCCCTTGTTTCATAATATCAAAATCTGAGCATTTCCGGGGCTGCTTTTGTTGATTTCTTTATCTCTTAATGATAGGTCATTTTTGTCTTGTGTTTTGTTGTGTCTTCATTTTTTAAAATTGAATTTTGTTCATTGTATATTAAAATTGCCAAAGACCTAGGTAGACAGTATTTATATTATGAACTGGGGAGGCCTCTTCTGTTGTCCTAGTAGTGTTGGCAGTTGCATCAATCTAGTCAGGGGTTACGCTGGCTTTAGTTTTTGTTTGTAGCTATTTATATTTCAGTACACCACTGGACCTCAAATTCTTGGAGTGCTAGATTGACATTGCCTTGTGCTTTTGTGGAGCCTGGGGGCCCCAAAGGATTTTTCTCAGTGTTCCTCTTCTACTACCTATAGGTCCTACATCCCTGAAACACAGTGGGTGCTTCTCTCTCTGCCATTTCTCTTTCCTCAGTAGTAGATTGCTATTTCTTGTTTTTATTCATTGCAAGGCTCCTGTTTAGAACATAGTGGTTTCTTGGATCTCATGTTCTACTCTCAATATTAGGCAGTCCTTATGTATCTTTGCCTCAGGGTGGAACTTTCTCAGTATTCCCACCCCACCTCACATAGCAGCTGCACTTTGCCTTTTATTAATGCTAAGTTCTCAGTATGAGTTGAGTTTTCTGTCCCATCCCTAGCAGCAGATGGCTTTTGCTTCTACCTGTACCTGTAGCAGTAGTGACATTTCCCTGATACTATGCCAGGGAAGGTTTCTTGCCTTTCATCTAGACACAAGTGGTGTTTGCCTCAAATGAGAAAAGGATCCACTATCTAGCACACAGTCGATCACAACTTGTGTGCCTCTACTGGTGAGGAAGACTGTTTTAGGTCTTCTGCCCTCTTGCTTTCTCATGAGCACCCATTGGATGCCTGTAGAGAAGAACTAATGAGTAGTCATTGTCTCTTCTTTTCTATCAGGTTTGCAGAGATTCTAATGTTATGTTAGCTCCTACCAAGCCTCTTAGAATTGATTTAAAATCTAGTTGTTTTCTTTTTATGTACATTATGGTAGCCATCTCTTCATCTTGTGCTTTGTCAATTAATTGTGAAACTGTTGTCTCTCCTCAGAGGGACTTTTCAAACTTTGAAATTCAGTTCACTTGGTTGCCTTGCAACCTCAGCTCTCTGATGAACTAAAAATATGATTTTGTAGATTTTTTTTTTATCCTCACCAGAGGACATTTTTTTTTCATATTTTGTTCAGATAGAGTGGGAGGGAGAGAGAGGAAGAGAGAGAGAAACATCTACATGAAAGGTACACATCGAGTGGCTGCCACCCATACAAACCAACCAGGGCCGGGGACAAACCGCAACCGAGGTACATGCCCTTAGCAGGAACTGAACCCGGGTCTCTCTGGACCGCAGGCCATTGCTCTAACCGCTGAGCCAAACTGGCCAGGGCTGATTTTGTAGATTTTCTAATATTTATATTGAGGAATAGTGCTGCTCTCTTCTGGTTTTGAACTTGCTAAATGGAACCAGAACCCTAGAGTCAATTGTCTAACTGGACCATGTTGTTCTCTTGCTTTAAAAGTCCTTTCCTAGTTCCCCTTTGCCTTCAGGGTGAGGCCTAAACCTCTAAGCCTGTCCTGCTATGACCTTTGAGATCTGGCCCATATCCATCTCACCAGGACTCAACTTGCACTCCAGATACAGGGACCTTGATAGTTAATATCTAAGAAAATCCTAAATGTTGTAGAAGAAATTCTGTTTGTGGTTTTTATTTTTCAGTGCCTGAGAATCACCTTCCATCCTTTGAATGTTTCCTTCTAACGTTCTTTGGGGTTTCATTTATTTTTCTTTCGTGTATTTGAACATCAGTTGTGGTTCTATGTAAGCAACATAAATTTATGTACTTGAAGAAGGATAGAGCCAACAAAATAAAGTGTTATTTACAAATTAGTTCAATTATTGATGCTGTTGCTCTTGGTGACTGATGGAGATTGGAAAAGAAAAGAAAATTGTTCCCAAATAGGTCTTAAAATCCTCATCTTTATCTGCCAAATTGTGTATCAAGGAAGAGGCAGGTGTTTTGTTTTATTTTTTATTTTATTTTATTTTATTTTATTTTTTTATTCAGCATTTCACAACCAATATGTCTAGGTTGGTGTGCCAGATATCAACTATCTCATAAAGTGGGTCGTCTTCTGAGGATGCTGTACAAAAGTGTTTTCTGTATGTGCCATGGTGTGAAAATTTTGGGAAGTGCTGGACTGGATGATTTCCTACATCTTTCCAAAAAAAAAAAAAAAATTGGGAGTAAAATAGTTGCGGGGTATTATTAATAATTATAATTAATACCTATCAGATGGTTACTATATACCAGGAGTATGCAAAATACTACCTCATTTCATGCTCAAATCAGTCCTACTAGGTAGTTTCAATCACTTAGGGCAATTACCCAAGGACAAATAGTTAAGTTGCAAAGCTGGGACATAAAGTCATGTTAAAAAGTCCTACCTTTGAACCATTATCCCTACATTATTAAATTATCTGTAATACAAATGGTTCATGATTTCTTCTCTCACGTTTTTCCTCAACTTGAGCTTGGGGTATTTGTACTTAGGAAATCGTTTCTCATTGCTGTATTAATTGATTCTTCTAATAGCAGATGAATTGTTGGGAAATGACATATTTGAATTTTTTTCAAATGTTATGGGAAATTTAGTGCCTGTAATTAACTGAGGTTTTCTGTGCATTGAAGAGGGAATTGGCACCCAACAATAATAAACCGTTATCACGTTGAAAGCAAAACATATTAAAATATGCATGATACAGAGTGGGAGTATGGCTGCCAAGTGTACATGAAGTTCTCAAGTTGAAATCTAGATTTTCTTGATTCATTTATGAATTGATAATAATCATTGTCTTATCAAACATCAGTGCCAGAAATATCAGAGAGCAAACGGGTCTCTGGGTGCTGAAGTCATTCATTAGAGATTAAAAGTCAATACTAAGGTTAATCTGAAAGCATCACAAGTCCTTATGATTTTAAAGAGGATTCTGAATGTTCCGTAATATTCTTTCATCACGTGGAGTAGGATGCTGAGACACTCTCTAAGCCCCAGAACAGGAGAGATATCTTGCTATTTTTTTTTTCTTTTTAATTTTTAATCTATTTTTATTGTTGACAGTATTACAAATATTCTCCATTTCCCCCACTTTGCCCCTTTCCACAAAGCCCTGTGCCACCACAGGCCCATACTGCACTGTTGCCTGCATCCATGGGCTATGTATATATGCATATAAGTTATTTGGTTAACCTCTTCCAATACCTCCATCCCCCTCCCCACTGTGCTCTGTCAGTCTATTCCATGCATCCATGCCTCTGGACCTATTTTGTTTGTCAGTTTAATGTGTCCATAGATTCCACATATAAGTGGGATAATGTGATATTTGCCTTTCTCTGACTGGCTTACTTAGCATAATGGTCTCCAGGTTCATTCATGCTGTCATAAAAGGTAAGATTTCCTTCTTTTTTACAGCTGCATAGTATTCCATTGTGTAAATGTACCTGGACTGTTTCCAGATTTTAGCTGTACACTCTTGTGAATATAGAGGTGCATATATTCTTTCTGATTGGTGTTTCGGGATTCTTGCTACTGTTTTGACTTTAGTTTGCAAAATAATGAATGATTTGTTTGGAATTAAGAATATTTATATATGTAATTTTTCCATTCAAGGTCGGTGATGTAGTAGAAGTACAGGCAGATGAAACCTTTCCCTGTGATCTGATTCTTTTGTCATCCTGCACTAGTGATGGAACTTGTTATGTTACTACAGCCAGTCTTGATGGGGAATCCAATTGCAAGGTAATGAAGACTGAACCTTGCTTAAACATTTTAAGCTCAGTAGAGTTCATCATTAAATACTCCTTCCCACTGCCCCCTAATCTTTTATCTTATTCAATCGTATTTGTGTAAGTTTTGTATTTGAAGTCAGGTTTTATATAATTAATTCAGAACTTCTAAGCAAATTCTCAACTTTGGGGAAAAGAGTGATGTTGGCTGAGGAAAATCCATGTCCCAAGTAAAAGCCAACACATTTTTTCTGTCAGTGTTTGCATTTCATATTGACATAACCCACACAGTATTTTATTTAGGCTTTTAAAAATGAGGGTAAACATAGACTGAAACTATATGAAATATAAAAATAATTTCAAGTACTCTCACCTGTTTTATCTGTTTTTATTTTAAAAGTGATGAATAATTTTTTTTTAAATGTTTATTCCTGGCATATAGAAAATGTAATCTGGAGTAGTTTTACTGTTTTTTAAATAATACCTTATGGTGTAGTTTGGCAAATGTTTACTTTATTGCAACTAGGAAAAATCATAAATCTGCTAAAGTAAATTTGCTCAAACTGGAGGATAAATTACTTTCCTGGTACTGTCTAACAGAGACAGTTCTTGGCCATTGACCACAAGTCCATAGGGCATGCTGCCTTTAAGGAAGGATACTAATGTGCTCACCTCTGTGTGTATCCTTGAGGGCTTTCCTATGCTTATTCCATCTGGAGTTGATGACCAGGATTCAGTATGTGAAAAAGGAACCTAAATGCCTTAGATAACTATATTCTGTGCTTCAGGGTATAGTGATAAACTAATACTATTTAAACTGTTCAAAAATAAATTTATATTTGAGGGAATGTCAAGGTAAAAATCAAGAAATCTACCTAAAGATTCCCTAATACGGGAAAAGTTTTTAAGTTGATCTGATCAAGCCAGCTAAAAGTACATATGTTTTCAAAGTTAGGAGATAGTTTTTAGTATGCACCAGGCAGTTCCATAATATTCCCTAAAGGCTGTGCAAACGCTTTCCCTTCTGTGCAAGTGGTACAGTCTTTGAGTCTGTTTGCCTTTTATTGATGATTTATAAATGGGTTCACTGGAGCCTGCTTTTAGTTCTGGGTAAATCAATACACTAATATACCTAATATGTACCTAATATGTACCTCATATACACTAATAGAATATTCTGTCTGAATAAAGCAAGGCACATCATTTCCCTGCTCCTCATATGAAATGTAACCAGTTTGAGCATTCTCAGGATCATTAATTATGCTGTTTGTGTAATGGAACTATTAATGATTTTTTTTCTTTTTGTTGGCAAGATGTTAGCATCTTACAAGCAAAAGGGCTATGTTCAATTCATATGTGTATATTTATATCACTATACACTATGGTGAGCAAAATTATAGGTCTTGGTAAAAGTAAATGCATTAAATTTTTATTGGATTTTCAGTTAATTATATGCATGCTGAACATGGAATTATCTCTACTGTCAATATCAAGAAAAACCTTTCAGTTTTCTCATTATCTTTGGAATCCCCTTGCTGTAGGGATAGCTTTGTAATTATAATATATTATAAGAATTTTATTTAGTTGTAAATGTGCATCAATGTTTGTATTATTCTGCCAAAGCATCTTACTAAAACATACTGTGTTTCTGGAATCAGGTGGGTGTTTGATTATGAAATGAAATATTTTTTGGTTTTGCCTTTTCTTCTGCTTTCGTCTAGACACATTATGCAGTACGTGATACCATTGCACTATGTACACCTGAATCCATTGATACCCTCCGAGCAGTGATTGAATGTGAACAGCCTCAACCTGACCTCTACAAGTAAACATCACCTGGTTTCATTTTACTGCTGTCTGTTGTCTCTGCCTATCTCTGCCACCAGTATTGTGAAGAAATGCCCACCACTTACCAGCCTCCTTTCATTTGTGTTTTTATGAGCTGTTTCTTCCTTCTGGCAGGGAAATGAATCATATCAGTCTTGTTCACTTATATGGCTGCAGGCATCTTACTTGTGATTTTTCTTTTATTTTTATTTGTAACCATGACACATCCATCAAATTTTAAGATGATATTATCCTGTAAGGCTGATCTACCAAACTCATTCCTTAACCAGAGTTAACTAAAACAAAAATAAATCACTCTATGTGTCTTCCAACACCAAAGAGAGAAGAGGACATTGAGCCATGCATTTAGTGGGCACTCTGTCTTTTTATGTGATGATCATGAAGAACTGCATATTTCAAATAAGCCATGTTTTGTCCACAGTAAACCGACAAATGGAGGAAGTAGTATAATGGTGTAATGTCCTCTTTTTTACTATACTTAGGCTTTCTGAAGTAGATTTGCTGATTAACAGTCATTGTGGATTGTCGGAAATTTGGAATTTGATTTTTAAGACTGGTCAGTTTAGCTGATTATAGCATAGTGTCAATGAAGGTAGAGTATCAGTTTTTATCCCCAACTGGGTCAATTTCATTTTGTTACACCATTACCAATGTCATCCATTACCTATTCCAGCCATCTTCTTAATGAGTTGTTGGTCATAATGAATCACGTGGTTGAATGTGGCTTAAACCAACTCCTAGTAGTCATTGTCATCTTACTACAAGAACAGTGCCCCTCCCTCCTTCTCACCATTCCTTTTTTTCCTCATTTCCTTCTTCTGTATCCACCTTGATAATAAGAACTAGGACCACAAATCAAAACAGCTGTTCCCTGCCTTAGCTCACAGTTTGCAGAGGAGATAAAACAGTAAAGCTAGGCATACAGTACAGTGAGATAATAGAGGTGAATAAAAGGCCCATGGAATCACAGAAAAGGGTTTGACTGATTCTGCCTGAGTTAGAGAATAATATACATGCTTACATATTTATAGGGCAACTCCTAAAATTTTCAATTACCTTAAATATGAAGGAGAATTTTAGGTCAGGGAAGGTTATACCTAATTCTCTAGACTAGATTGAGTGCCCCTGATATGTGACTTCAGAATACTTTGTACTTTCAGTACCCTAGTGGTAATCACTGATATCGTAATTGCCTGTTAATTTGTCTGTCTTAGGGAAGGTAATGTCTTTCTTACTTATTAGTGTATCTCTAGCACCTAGCACAATTGATAAATGATGAATGAATTAGCAGATACTCATATTTTGGAATACAGTAATAAGCTCTATTTTTTCAGCAGAAATATAATGCACATAATAAAATGTCCACAACACTCTTGTTAAGGAAGGGGTTAGGTCTTTTTACCCCATTTTTTCAGAAATGCAGAATACCATGTACTTAGCTATATTAAGTGATTGGACCAAGCTCAGTAATGAGATCAGCTACAAGACAGTTTGGAAATTTTCAAGATGATAATCAAGTGTTCACGGTCTAAAACTAATGCCAAGGTAGCAACATCAGCATCACCTGAGCACTAGCTGGAATTACAATTCTTACCTAAATCATAAATGTGGGGATGGGGTCCAGAAGTCTGTAGTTTAATTAGCCCTCCAGTGATTCTGATTCATGTGCAAATGAAAGAACTACTGAACTAAATACATAATGGCTTTGAATGTTGTGTTAGCACCAGAAATCTTTCTTCACATGAATCTATGATAGAAGCCGATTATGTATATAAAGTATAAACAAGAGGGATGTTACCTGCATGCACAATGCCAAGATCTTGAGAATCAATTTAGAATATGTTTACATTCTTACGATAATATTATTTTAAGAGTTAGATTAAAATGTTACCATTATTTCATATTTTTTCAGAAATATAATAGGCATTCATAGTTCACAGTCTTATCTCTTTTGCATTATTTGTATTTTGATCCATTTCCATATTTGTGGTGTATAGATTTTACCTATATATTGAAAACTCATTTGCTATTATGTTCTTTTTGCAGGTTTGTTGGGAGAATTAGTATCTGTAGTAATAGTCTTGAAGCTGTTGCAAGGTTAGTTTGCTATTCCTTTCATCTGTCTTTTGAGGGGGAATATTTCTATTTTAAGCCCATTAAAATAGCCAAACACTTTTTTTTATAGAGAGAGGTGTGAAGGTGAATAACTCTGGAATAACTAGCCAACATCCCACTAATGGGTCCTAAGTAACCAACCTTGTAATTGGTAGGGGACCTTGTGTGGTAAGGTCTCTATGTGTGTCCTGGGAAGGGGGCAGTAATGGAAATGATGCTGAAGGTTTTCAGAATTGTAGAGCTCTAGAGACTTTGGTAATCCCAAATCTCTTCTAGACACTGTATTTATTGTCCTAGTTTCTTCAGTGGCTGACAACATTGGAAGTATACCTGGAGAATAGTGGTTTAAGGGAGAGTCATTGAGGGTATAAGCAGTATATAAAATGCTAGGAAAATTACTTGGACTTAAGTAAAATGAAAGGCTAATCCTTTATAATGAAGCAATTTATATAAAAAGGGATATTTTTTTCCTCTTCTATAATTTAGTACCTAAACTTTTCCACTTGGCCTTTATACCATACTCAAAAGGAAGTAAAAGAAACACCCAGTTGCTCAATGAGCCCCCAAAGGCAAGTTTACAGTCGGCCCTCATTTATTGCAGTTAATCAGTTCCAGACTCTACTGCGATAAATGAATTTCCGCGAAGTAAGATTCTTTATTTACTATACTATACTATATTTGAAAAAGCACAATAGAGTGAAGCCATGAAAGTCGAAGCACGAAGTGGTGAGGGACGACTGTACTCTTCTCTCTATAAATATGCCAATATGTCTTTCCCACCTTGATGTTTGCTTTCCCAGTCTTTAATCTGTCACTTCTCTTTCTGTGTCTTGCTGTCTGCTGCTTTATCCTTTTCTTGTTTTCTTGTCTGTTGCTCACAATCCTTTTATCTCTCTGTGCATCCTTTACCTCTGTGTGTTGCCTGCTACTCTTGTACTGTGCTTTTATCTGTGCAGTACCCTCAAGTAACTTCAGAGAGAAGGGTCTTTCAGCTTGTCTTGGGGAGTAAGCATGTGCTATTAGTAGATAGATATATTCTGAACCTAGGACATAGATGTATGGACAGAATGTGTCCCCAAAGTTGATGGTTCTATTTATTGGGTTGTTTGTATAAACTGTATTCATTTTTCATTTAGGTCTTTGGGACCTGAAAATCTCTTGTTGAAAGGAGCTACACTAAAAAATACCAAGAAGATATATGGTGAACAATTTTAAGATATATTTATCAGAAATATGCTTTATAAAGCCTGTGGATAAATAGTGCATGTTAAAAACTGAACATAGCAGATAACTGCCATTTAATCTAAGCCTATTTTTAGGTGTTGGGAATTTATAAGTAGCAAACTAACTTAAAATATGATAGATTATATAAAATTAAAATTATACTATAAATGATATATCAACTGGTGAACAGAAGAGAGTTTAAAATTCCTACTTTTATAGGATAGAAAAAAAAAATTGATAGATCCAGGTTAGTGGGGAGTTGGTTGTAACTTAGTTTTCATTTCATTGTGTTATTCCTTAGGAGTTGCTGTTTACACTGGGATGGAAACCAAAATGGCTTTGAACTACCAAGGGAAATCACAGAAACGTTCTGCTGTTGAAAAGTTAGTATGCACCACAATTTCTTCAGTTCTTATAGAATTGAAGTAGTTACTTCTCAGTAATTACAGTAAGAACCATAATGAAAAAACAACATCAATTATAATGGTGACTACCTACCATTTTGAGTACTATTTATGTTCCAGAAACTGCTCAATGATTTGTATTTCTGATTTGGTTTAATCCTTTAAGCAGCTCTATGGAGTAATTCCTGTTAGCCTATTCACTTTACAGATGAAAAAAATCATCTCAGAGATAAGTGACTTGCCTAAGCTCACACAGCTATTCAAAAGCAGAGTTTAGTTGAAATATAAATGTATTCCATTTGCTTTTGCATAATGGTTTGTGGTCCTAAAGTTGCTATATGTAAGGGGGTTCTACAACATAGATAATAGTTTCCAGGCAAATGTTGAAGTGGTACCTGGTAGACCTTCAAGCCAGTTGCCACTGACATGGACCTAGCTATCAGTAGCATGGATATCCAGTACATTAGTGGCACACTCTTCATAGCTCTGCTTTCAGACTAAAATAATCTGCATTAAGCTTGAGGATAGCACATTTGCTTTTCTACCCTCTACTCCAAATCTTTAGGATTCAGGGAAACAGAGACAATCTACTCAAAGGATTAAGTATTGGTGTGTGTGTGTGTGTGTGTGTGTGTGTGTGTGTGTGTGTCTGTCTGTCCTGTCACTTTATAGCAGGGGTGGGGAATGTCTGGCCCATGACGCATATAAGGCCCGTGAAATCAAAACCAGGTAACATCACATGCTCACCAAAGAGAAGCAGTTCCAGATATCACATTAAGTTAGTTAACTCATCACCGTGAGTTAATTAAATTTTTGACCACATATGGTAGGCTAATTTTTTTTTTTTATCCTTACCCGAGGACAATTTTGCATTCATCTTCAGACAGAGTCAGAGGGAGAGAGGAAGAGAGAGAGAGAGAAACATCAGTGTGAGAGAGACACATTGACTGGTTGCCACCCACACAACCCAATCGGGGCCGGGAACAAACTGCATCCGAGGAATATGCCCTTAGTGGGAACTGAACCAGGGCCTCTCAGATGCGCCGCTGATGCTCTAACCACTGAGCAAAAGTGGCCAGGGCAGTAGGCTAATTTTTAAGTTGATAATTTTGTACAACTTGCGAATGATGTTATAAATATTCAAATGCCCCTTGGCAGAAAAAAGGTTCCCCACTCCTGCTTTATAGAATCCTTACTGAAGGTGTGTTAAGGTAGTCAGCCATTGCACTTTGGGAAGTATTGTTGACCATCAAACAGGTCAGGACTACCTTTTCCATTCTACTGCTTGAGAGTAATGCTTTGGTAGGTGATAACTGAGGTTTGTGCATACATAGAGGCTTGTGCTGTTGTTACATATCATAGCAGGAGAAGAGTTAGAAAACTGAATAGTTTAATTTATACCTGGCTAATATCTTAAATAATTAGATAGTTTTTCATTCCGTAATATCTTATTTTTCAGGTCCATTAATCTCTTCTTGGTTGTGTATTTATTTATCTTACTGACCAAAGCTGCAGTATGCACTATTCTAAAGTATGTTTGGCAAAGTACCTCATATAATGATGAACCTTGGTATAACCAAAAGACCCAGAAAGAACGGGATACTTTAAAGGTAATTTGTTTTATGCTATAAATTTTAACTCTAGCACTTTGTTACCACACCACCTTTGATTGAAATGCTGCTGAGATTAATGATGGCTTTAGTTGGTTTCTGAGTTCTCTCCTGGTTGTATGGTAACCCTAAACCATTAAGTAGTTAAGGAGTTTTAGAATTTTGTTTTGTTTTAATTTAGGCTTCTATGTTTGTTTTTAGCTCTTAAGAGTTTTAAACAACTGGGGCAAGAAGCTGGCATTTTAATATAATACGAGATTGTGATATATCATGCAAGGAGCATAATGAATGCTTACATATATACTTTGCTGCTACATTCCTATCTAGGGTTGAGGGGAGCAGACAAGGAAGTGAAAAAGTATGGAGTTAAATGGTATATTCACTGAAGAATAATGAAAAATTGAGGGTGTTTATACATACTGTGATAATGTTTTTGACCAATGATATAATGTCTTTGGGAAGTTTTTTCATTGTAGCAAGAACAGTGCTTTCAGATTGAAATAAAAAGGTAGAAAGTTAACTAGTTCTTTATATTACATGTGTTTAATAGAACTGTGTATCTAATTAGCATGAACTATTTTTATTTTGTTTTAGGTTTTAAAAGTGTTCACCGACTTTCTATCATTTATGGTTCTGTTCAACTTTATCATTCCTGTCTCCATGTATGTCACAGTAGAAATGCAGAAATTCTTGGGCTCCTTCTTCATTTCATGGGATAAGGACTTTTATGATGAAGAAATTAATGAAGGAGCTCTGGTTAACACATCAGACCTTAATGAAGAACTTGGTCAGGTTAGAATTTATTTTTACTTAAAATAAATTAACATAGTTGAAATATTTTTTCTTGTAGTCTGGGTTACCAGTGTATGTGACTAATGTCATGTTTGAGAATGTGATTAAAAAAATTTATACAGACATACAATGAAGGCAAATGATGTTTTCATAGCTATAACATCAGTTATTTTGCTGGCATTTTTGAGACATACCCAATATGTACTGAATTTGAATGTTACAGAAATTCTCTTTAAAACTTAGTGATATTGTTAGACTATGGATTATTGCTTTGAAACAGGAAACATGTAGTGATCATCACCAACTATAACCATTTGGGGATATAATGTGGAGTAGTAAATAAAGCTATTTTATAAATGCAGTTTGTTCCATAAACTAGATTGACCAGAGTTGTCCAATTGACATTTTCTTAGTACATTTCTGGTCAGATAGAATATATCTAGAAAGCAGTTGCTTATTTCAGCTCAAAAATTTAAATGAAGGAAAATGTAAGGGTATACACTCCTCAAAATGCTTTTTACTTCATATACCAATGTAGTCCAGGCTGTGACCTTGTTTCCAACCCAGGTACATTTGTTTTCCAGTGCAATGCAACAGCTGTAACTCTTTAAGTGATGACTTCCTAGGTGTTTTCCTAGCCGTATTGAGAGAGTCGTCCCCTTTGTCTGAATGTACTATATCATGTAATGATCTTCACAAGCTAAGGCAAAATTTTGACTGCATTTAATTTGCATGATATTTATAAAGTCAGGGATGTGGAAATGTCATTTCTGTCATTTCAGTTAATTCAGTTAATGGAACTGGGTGGCTAGAACAAGACCTCAAACTTGTTTTAAATGGTGCCAATTTGCATCTATACCTCAAAACTCTCTTCCTGAATTTGTTCTCCCTCCACCTCTGCTCTCTATTTCTGTTGTTTACACAACTTTTACCTAAACCAAAGTACCCTATTGACCACTACAGTCACAAGGGTGAAAGAACTCTTCAGATATAATTTTGTTGAAACCTGACTTCAGGACTCCAGGATCCCAAACCATGGAATCTGCATCCCACAGTAATACAGAGTCACTAAGGATGTAACAAGAAATGAATGAATGAGCCCGGCCAGTGTGGCTTAATGGATTGAGCATCATCACATGGACTTAGAGGTCCCAGTTCGATGCCCAGTTAGGGCACATACCCTGGTTGCGGGCTCGATCCATAGTAGGGGGCATGCAGGAAGCAACCAATCAGTTTCTCTCTCACATCAATGTCTCTATCACTCCCTCCCTTTCTCTCTCTCTAAGAAAATCAATAAAAAAAATAAATAAAACAATTTTCTTAAAAACAGAAAGGAATGAATGTTTTCCCCTCAGATAATGCTCCCATAAGATTCTTTTTTAAGTGACTTCAGCTGTGACAGCTGACCTTAGCTTTTTAATTTTTTAATTTTTATTTATTTTATTTTTCTAACTCATCTTTATTGTTGAATGTATTACAGATGTCCCCTCTTTTTTTCCCCATTAACCCCCTCCTCCTCAATCCCCCCCACTCCTGCCTTCCCCACACTATTGTCGGTGTCCATTGATTATGCATATATGCATAGAAGTTCTTTGGTTTATCTCATCCCGCCCTCCCTCGCCCCTTCCTTTTGAGGTTCATCAGTCTAACCAATTTGTACTTGTTAATTTCTTCATCTTTTTCACCCAACCCTCAGCCCCTGCCCATCTGGCAAGCAATACAAAGTTCTCTGTATCTATAAGTCTGTTTCTGTTCTGCTTGCTCATTTTGTTTGTAGATTCAATTGTTGTTAGATATGTATTAATTGCCATTTTATTGTTCATATTTTTGTTCTTATCCTTCAAAAAGACCTTTCAACATTTCATGTAATACTGGTTTGGTGGTGATGAACACTTTAGCTTTTTGTTGTCTGGGAAACTCTTGATATGTCCATCAACTCTAAATGATAGCTTTGCAGGGTAGAGTAATCTTGGTTGTAGGTTATTGCTTTTCATCACCTTGAATATCTCTTGCCACTCCTTTCTGGCCTGCAAAGTTTCTTTTGAGAAATCAGCTGGCAGTCTTATGGGAGCTCCTTTGCAGGTAACAAACTGATTTTCTCTTGCTGCTTTTAAGATTTTCTCTTTGTCTTTAACCTTTTGCATTTTGATGATGTTGTGTCTTGGTGTGGACCTCTTTGGGTTCATCTTGTTTGGGACCCTGTGCTTCCTGGACTTGTATGTCTGTTTCCTTCACCAAGTTAGGGAACTTTTCTGTCATTATTGTTTCAAATAGGCTATTTATTTATTTATTCATTTATTTATTTATTTTGGTACGAGCCCTAGCGGGAACCAAACCCGGGACTCTCTGGTCCGCAGGCTGATGCTCCAACTGCTGAGCCAAACCTGCCAGGGCTCAAATAGGTTTTCAATTTCTTGTTCTCACTCTTCTCCTTCTGGCATCCCTATGATGTGAATGTTGGCATGCTTGAAGTTGTCCCAGGGGCTCCTTATACTATCCTCATTTTTTTGGATTATTTTTTCTGTTCTGATTGGGTGTTTTTTGCTTTGTTATATTCCAAATTGATGGTTTGCTTCTTTGCTTTACCTACTCAACTATTGATTCCTTGTAAATTATTCTTTATTTCATTTGGTGCATCCTTCATTTCTGACTGGTCCTTTTTTTTTTTTTTTCCTCACCCGAGGATATTTTTTCCATTTTTTGTACAGATAGAGTGGGAGGGAGAGAGAGTGAGAAACATCGACGTGAAGGGACACATCGAGTGGCTGCCACCCGCACGACCAACCAGGGCCGGGGACAAACTGCAACCGAAGTACGTGCCCTTAGCGGGAACCGAACCCGGGTCTCTCCGGACCGCAGGCCGACGCTCTAACCGCTGAGCCAAACTGGCCAGGGCTGACTGGTCCTTTTTTATGTTGTTGATGTTTGCTCTCACTAAGTTCCTTGGAGGTCTCCTTAAGTTCCTTGAAGTTCTCACTAAGTTCCTTGAATGTGTCACCAAGTTCCTTGAGCAACCTTATATCAGTGTTTTGAACTATACATCTGATTGATTGCTTATCTCTGTTTTGTTCAATTCTTTTCCTGGAGTTTTGTTCTTTTCTTTCATTTGGGACGTGTTTTGTTGTTGTTGTTGTTGTTGTTTTTTTTTGTCTCCTCATTTTGGCTGCTTCCCTGTGTTTGTTTCTATATATTAGGTAGAGTTACTATGTCTCCTAGGCTTTGTAGGGTGGCCTATTATTGTAGATGTTCTATAAGATCCAGTGGCACAGCCTCCCTTATCATCTCAGCTGTGCCCTCGAGGTACACCCCTAGTGTGGACTGTACAGCCTTCTGTTGTAATTGAGTCTTGATTGCTGTTGGCATGTCAATGGGAGGGATTTACTTAGGCTGATTAGCTGCAAGAACTGGCTGTGCCCACTGATCACTGGCCTCTGACTCCCTTGGAGGATCAACTGTGTAGGGGCCCACCACACAGCAAGACTTACTTCATCAGAGCTCTGGTACCCACTGAGTCCGCTCATTGAGTGTCTCACTTGTGGAGGTGGTTGTGTTTTGATGTGGTCTGAACCTGTCCACTGGGTGTGCTGGCCCTGGAGCAAGGTCAGTCACTGCCTCTGTTCTACCTGGGACCAACAGACATAAGCTACAAAGCAATGTACAGATAGCTACTTCTTGTGCTTGGCTTGGAGGTACCCAGGAAAAGCCAAGTTGTGAACCAAGGCTGACTGCTTCTAGTGTCAGGCCTGCGGCCACTTAACAAGAAGTATGGGGCTCACTGAGACTAGATGCAGCTTATTTGAGAGATTTTAAGAAAATCTGAAGCAGGATCCAAGATAGGCAAATCCTGGGGTAAAGCCTTTGGAAACAGATTGGGTGGGCCCAAAGGTTGGGTGGGGCAGGGCCTCAGGATATCACCAGGGTGGGGCCAACAGTGTGAGCCAGGTTGCTAGAGTCCCAGATATGGCGGCTGTCTGCTGCCTCAAGGAAGGTCTCACCAAAGGAACATCACCTCTGGTAGCACATCTGTCCAGGAGAAAGCCGCCTCTCCAGCCCTGTCCCAAGGCCAAACAGCTCAATTCTTCTCTGCATGTCTCTGGCGCCCCTCATGCTGCCTCCCTTCCGAGCTCAGAGGGAACACGTTTGGGAAAGTTCGTGCACGGGTCCTTTAAGAGGAGTTGCCTGGGGCTACAGCAGCCTCAGCCTCCCTCAGCTTTAGGTCTTGCTGATTTTTCCAGCCAGAAGTTATGGGGACTTCTCTTCCTGGCACTGGAACTGTGAGCTGGGCACCTGGTATGGGATGGAGACCCCCTCACTCCTCAGGGAGGACCTTTCCAGCAGAGGTATCTTCCTGATTTTTATCTGCCACACATGAGTGGGACCAGCCCATCCGTGCCTCTGCCTCTCCTACCAGTCTCGATGTGGCTGCTTCTTTAATTTCGTAGTTGTAGGACTTCCATTCAATTCGATTTCAGGAGGTTCTGAATGATGATTGTGTTGTAGTTTAGTTGTAATTTTGATGTGGTTGTGAGAGGAGGCGATACCATGTTGACCTATGCCGCCATCTTGACTGGAAGTTTTCTGACCTTAGCCTTTTTTAAACTGGAAGTTTTCATCCAGGGTCAGAGATATATGAGTAGAACTATAGTCCCTATAATAGGCATACATTTGTAGCATTTTTGCACTAAAAACAAATATTAAGTTACAAAAGCCACCTCTGGTGAACTTTTCCCTGGCAGCTGAGTTAGCTGAGTAGATCCAGTGCCTGACTATGTAGATTAACCTACCCAAAGATGAACTTAGCTAGCTAGCCCCAGGCTACTGCAAATAAAAGACCCAGCTTTCCAAGTTTGATACCTAATGTTAGGCAGGATATCTAGGCCAGATTTTACTAGATGAGACTTTTATCTCTTTGGGATCTCCACCTTAGCAGATTCCATGTTACTTATGGGAATGCAGTCCCTATCATTTAGACTGTATTCACACTGCAGAAGACAAAGAGG